CTTTGGCCATCTGATGAGAAGAGAAGACTCCTTGGAAAAGACCTTGATGTTAGAAAAGTGTGACGGCAAGAGGAGAAGGGGATGACAGAGGACGAGATGGTTGGACGGTCAAAGCAAAGCGACCAACATGACTTTGACCCAACTCCGGGAGGCAGTAGAAGACAGGAGGGCCTGGCGTGCTCTGGTCCATGGTACAGAGTACCATGGGTGACAGAAGCCCTGTCTATTTTTTTTTTTTAAAGGTGATCACAATAAAGGGCTTGCCTGGAAGTAGGAGACAGTGCAATAAAGGAGCCAGAGTTAAGATGGCTTGACTCAGTTCTCTTAAAATTGTGGAGATAAGCTGGGATGTCATTCCAACACGGAAGCATAGGGGCAGAGTAAACTACTTTACACAGAATCACACGGCTGGTCCCTTGATCAGAGTGTTGTTGATTCAGGGAAGAGGTGTGGTGTGGAAGTTCAAAATTCTCTCATGCTACTTGGGACAGTAGATTGGAGTTTAGGGTGATCAATTTGTCAGTTATCTATCAGTTTCCTTTTATCCCATGTCTGAACTGTTTAAATCCCAAACTGTTTACTCTCTGTTTATGAAAAAAAAGGGACTTTGGTCAGTTTGTGTCTGTGGGGTTGAGAAGGAACTATAAAATATTCCTAATTATTTGTTGTTATGTGCTGTCAGTTGCTTCCAACTTAAGGTGTCACGATGAATGACTGATCTCCAGCCTGTTCTGTCCTCAAAAGCTCTGTTCAGCTCTTGCAAACTCAAGCCTGTGGTTTCCTTGAGAGGGTCAGTCCATCCTGTATTTGGTCTTCCTCTTTTCCTGCTGCCTTCCACCTTTCCCAACATTATGGTCTTTTCTAGAGAATCTTACTTTTTCATGATATGCCCAAAGAAGGGACAATCTCAGAATCAACATTTTTGTCTCCAGAGAAAGTTTAGGCTTGATTTGAGCTAAGACTCACTTGTTTGTCTTTCTGGCTGAGAGGGTCAGTCCATCCTGTATTTGGTCTTCCTCTTTTCCTGCTGCCTTCCACCTTTCCCAACATTATGGTCTTTTCTAGAGAATCTTACTTTTTCATGATATGCCCAAAGAAGGGACAATCTCAGAATCAACATTTTTGTCTCCAGAGAAAGTTCAGGCTTGATTTGAGCTAAGACTCACTCGTTTGTCTTTCTGGCGATGACTTCACGACTAAACAACAACAAAATCAGTGTGGAAGAGTTTCATCAAAATCCAGGCATACTGAGATATTGTTGTTGAGTCTTGACAAGAGAATTATGTATACCTAATGTTAGGGATTGTATTTCTTTACTTATTACATTTCAGTATCTTCTTGCCATGAAAAGTAGGACTCACGGTGGCTGAATATACAAATACAAGTAAAATAACATTATAATCTAAAACTCAAACCAAATGATTGCAATAAAAACAGTCCTGCCAGTGAGAAAGATTTAACAACAGCAACAAAAATGAGGGGGGGAAAAACTCTGGGAAGCTGAATCTTGTTTGAAAAGCAATTTGGAGAGTGGAAAATTTTAATTGTAAAAGGTTACTGAATGCAGCCTGAGGGACAGGAAGGGGAGTGGCCTGCTCGTTAAGGCAGCAGCTCGTTAGGGGTTATAACTTTGCAGGTATTTCTGTGGAAGGCAAGGTCACACCTTGCTTCATCGCTCACATCACCTCTCTATAACTGTTTGTTTTCTAAACCCTCTGTGTGGCATTGCCAAGGCTGAGTGGGTGCGTTGGTGGAAGGCTTTTCAAAGCTTGCTTTTATTGGTGCAATCCACAAGTGAGGCTCAATATGGTTGATGGCCAAAGCAGAACCAGATACGGCCACTCCATACACTTTGAAAACTCTTCCTGTATCGGTCAGTCGCAGCTGCTTCCTTAATCTCCTCTTTCTCCCTATGGTGCTGTCTGTGTCTGGTCACTTTGCCTTAAGACTCGGCCATGTGCCCATGTTATGTCTGTAGGAGAAACATGAGTCAGATCTAAGATGATTGAGAGAGAAGGACTTGAAACTGACCTCGGTCACCCATTTTTGGTCAACCTAACATAACAAAAAAAAGAGAAGGGGTTGCTTGTGTGTACACAAAACGTATCAGGGGATGGTCCAGACTGTCAATAAGGTAGATGTGCATTCATTTTTAATTAAGTTTTGAAGCTGCCAGAAAACCTCTTCTTGAAGCTGTCCCCTCCATGAAGGGCTGGTCAGTCTAAGCCTGGACACATAGAGGGAGGCCTAGAAGATTGCCATCCAGACGTGACATTTGGACAACAAGCTCACCAGAAACAGTGTCCCTCTCTTCCCAACTTCAATGAGATGTGTTGCAATTTCCTTTGAATCATTAAAAAATAATAATCTAATTTTACCATCTGCACACAGACATATATATTTGTATATGTAATTTTATGAGAATTGGCATTCTATTTTCTATTTTTGTGTGTGTGATGCTTTGTTTTTGGTTTTTGATATTCTCTTTTGTCTTCTTCCTTTGGTGATGAATGTTCTCCATGTTGTTGTTGTTTATATGTTAGGCGCCATAGCACTTGGATGTTGTTATAGGGGCCAGATGGTCAATTGCGTTAGTAACACCCACAAAGCAGTGCTCCAAGTGGGATGGGATATTGTTTCAGTTCTGTTTAACCAGTCTTCGATGGCTCTATAATAGAGTCTATTCATATGAAGCACTTCTACTACCTTTTATTTCCCCGTGTCAACCTTTTCTCCTCCTCTCTTCCCTCTCACAGAGGAGTGGAGGAAGTTTTCACTTTCCCAAAATTGTTAAGTGGCTTAAACAGATAGCTTAAGCCACTTAACAATATTGGGAAATTGCTCAGGCCATCCGCTTACGCCACCCACTTTGGTTGATCTCAGCAATCGCGTGTGCTTGAACTGAACCAAAACGGAGTGATCTTCCTCACACTAAAAAAAAAAAAAGAGCCCCTGACAGACAGCCAAAAAAGGTGCTGGTAGGGATTCATCAGTACAGACTGGTTCGCAGTAGCACTTATGTCATGTGTTCACAGGGAAAGGAAGCAAACCAGCCTGTCTCCAGCCCAGACCAAACAACAGGACAAATACCCATCTAGTTGCACCCTGGACTTTCCCCTGTGTTTGTGACTAGGCTGTTTTCAGACAAGGGTAGCAACATAAATGTATGAGAAGTAAATGCTTTTGGAACAAAGAGGCATTGTTGTGTGCAAATCATTACAGGACTGTGCTTATGTTTAAATGTTTTTTCCTGACTCTATCCTACTGATTTTCATTCCAGTGAACAAAAGAAGACTGAAGAACATCTCCAGCATCTTGAAGTCCACTATTTGTGCCAAAAAGAGAGAACAGATTAACAAGCCTTATATTTGCTAAGCAGTGAAAAATCTGTCGTAAACTCACCTCGGGCTGACACCCTCTCCTTATATCTCTGAAGATCAAGGGTGGAGAATTTTCCAAGAGGGAAGGATTGTATTTTCCACCATATCTTGAGCCTCTCTCATCTTTGGATACGGGATTGTAGCTGTTCACTGAGCCCGCTCTTGGCTCTACGCAACTGAGTACATTTTCTGACCAGTCAATTAGCTGTTAAAAAGCACACCTTTATTGTCAGGGGAAGAAACCATTTTCCAATCAAACAAAGAACATGGGTGAATGGACGAGAAGCTGTCAGACAAACAGGTTTCTGCTGGAGAGAGCTGCTTTCTTTTGCTTGCTGTTTGCTTCAGGTAAGAAAGAGTTCGATTGTAGGAGTGCATTTTATCTATAGAATAAAAGAAAAGAGAGAAGTCTTAGAGTGTGTTTCCCATCGTTCCTCTGCCATCCTACAACATTACGCTGATGGAAATTGCTTTCCAGATGCTATGTGTCCTCAAACCCACTATTTAGAGCAAAGATCACCTTTGCCAGTGGGGGGCGGGATTAGAGGAAATTGTGTAGGGTCTCAGTCATTTACCAAGGACACTGCACAAGATCTGAAAGTTGCCATTCTGGAGAAGAAAAATTACAGGACCAAAATCCAGAGAGAGGCAGCAGAGATAAAATATATACATATTTTAAAACCCATCTCAGTGGACTCAATGTAAGTCAAGATTTCTTAGGCCATTATCAAATGTAAAATATAGTGTTGTACTTTCTGTATTCTCAGCTATATTTCCTTACTAACTGACCTGTGCCATCTCACAAGCCCCACTGATGATTAGAGAAACTCATTATCATGTTGTCCCCCCTTGTTATCTATAGTTTAGGATTAATTTAGCCACCATTCATTGTGATTGTTTATAGAACAATGCTTCCTGGAAGGGAACTGAATATAAACACAGGTCCTGAGGGCCATTGTCAGGTCAACAATTTGTACACAAATAACAGTATCTGTATAAATGTCTAAATATTTGCAGTCCCTAGTCTTATGTCTGAGGAAGTGGACTTGTTCATGAAAGCTCACATTAAAATATAACAGTTTGTCTTTGAGGTGCCACAACGTTTTTGACTTCTTTGTTTTTTTCATTTTTCTTTTGTTTCTGCCTGATTGTCTGGCTTCTGGATGGAGGCACCATAAGGCCGTTTTAGTTATTTGTTTGAGCCCTCAGCATGTTATGTGGCTCTTGGTTCAACTTCAGAGAAGTTCAGCTAGATCAAGATCCTTTCAGCTTGCTCGGCAAAATGCAGCTTCATATCACGCTATTCTGTAAGGAGAGTTGCTTAGCAACCCCTTTGTACTCCCCAGCTGAAGTGGCCCGCATCATGTCGGCCATGCCAGCTGTGGATTCTGGGACTTGTGGTCCAAACAAAACAAAACAAAGAAACAGAATAGAAAAATGGTTTCCAAGCATTGCTCTCGGCTAGTTTGTCAGTGGTAGAATAATACATTGCTCCCTGCAGTTTGCTTGCATAAATATCAGCATTCCCTGGAATAACAGGCACAGTTATTTATTTATTTGTTCCAGCCGATGGCCTGCAATGCTACCAGTGTGTGGGGATGTTCCATGAATGTGTCCAGTCGGAGCAGCTGTGTGCACCCAAAGACCGTTCCTGCTTCTCATCCACCATCAAACTTTTCTGTAAGAAGCTTTTCTCAAGGCCCAAGAACAGGGCATCCCCTTATGTGATGGCCTTTTCTCATCATAAGCATGGAAGAGATTTCTGAAGAGGCTTAAGAAATTCCAAATATTATTCTTTGCGTGTTATTTAGAGCGATCTTTCAGATGATACCTCACATGAATGCTTAGAAAACCAAACAAACAGAATTTTTACAGGAGTACCCTCTTGCTGAATTAAAAGGGGTAAAGATCTTTTAATTAATACATCATATTCACCAGAGGTAAAGTTGACACTGAAAGCTACCAGTATAAAATTAAGTGATGGCATCCCAGAACTCTAAACAAACAAATAAAAGCAGAGGGAAAACATGGACAAAACTTTAAGAAGAAATGTCCCTCATGCCAGTAATATTGTTCTGAAATATTTTCAGCCAGGGCTAAAATAAACATGCCAATTTTTTTACAACATGTTTCAGTAGCTGCTTTGATTTTCTACAGAACCATGTTAAGTATGGCTCTTTGTAGCAAAAAATATATATATTTTTGGATTATTGCCACCTTCGGGCCAATTTTTTTACAACATGTTTCAGTAGCTGCTTTGATTTTCTACAGAACCATGTTAAGTATGGCTCTTTGTAGCAAAAAAATTTGGGGGGGGGGATTATTGCCACCTTGGGTCTTTTTGAGGTGAAAGACAGAGTATAAGGTAAATAAATAAATAAATAAATAAATAAATAAATAAATAAATAAATAAATAAATAAATATTCCAGAATCCCCCAAACAATGCCGTTCTGGGGGACTACTAGCTGATGTAACAATTTTTCCAGTCCCTGATGGCTGTTAGGTATAGATTTCTAACAGATAATAATTATTTTTAATTTGTTTTGTTATGTGCCATCAAGTCGCTTCCAACATGGCGACCGTATGAATTAGGGACCTCCAAAATGTCCTGTCCTCAACAGAGCTGCTCAATTTTTGTAAACTTGGGTCTGTAGTTTCCTTGATGGAGTCAAGCCATCTTTAGGAATCACTTTCTAACAAGGAATAAGTACTTTCCATTTCTAAGATTCTCTGTGGGAAAACATGTTAATTAAAA